AAGGGAAGTCAGCACAACTGGACTACACCAAAAGCTAGGAAGTCTCCTGAATACAACCAAACACTTCAAGGGACAGAGAGCAGGGGCGGGGGTCTGGGGACCATGCTTTCAGGGGACATCTAGGTCAACTGGCATAACAAAGTTTATTAAGAAAATGTTCTGCATTCCACTTTGGTGAGTGGCATCTGGGGTCTTAAAAGCTAGCGAGTGGCCATGTAAGATGCATCAGTTGGTCTCAACCCACCTGGAGCAAAGGAGAATGAAGAACACCAAAGACACGAGGAAAATACTAGCCCAAGAGACAAAAGGGCCACATAAACCAGAGACTCCATCAGCCTGAGAACAGAAGAACTAACCAGTGCCAGGCTACCACCAAATGACCACCCTGACAGGGAACACAGCAGAGAGTCCCTGACGCAGCAGGAGAAAAGTTGGGAGCAGAACTCAAATTCTAGTAAAAAGACCAGACTTAATGGTCTCAGACTGGAGGGACCCGTGAAGACACTGCCCCCAGACTGTTAGCCCAAAACTAAAACCATTCCCGAAGCCACCTCTTCAGACAAAAATTAGACTGGACTATAAAGACATAAAATGATACTTGTGAAGAGTGTGCTTCTTAGGTCAAGTAGATACATGAATCTAAATGGGCAGCTCCTGTCCGGAGGCGAGACGAGAAGGCAGAAAAGGACAGGAGCTGGTTGAATGGACACGAGAAATCCAGGCTGTAAAGGAGGAGTGTGCTGTCACAGTACGGTAGGTGCAACTAGGGTCACATAGAAGTGTGTGTATAAAGTTTTATAGAGAAACTAACTTGAACTGTAAACTTTCATTTAAAGCACGATAAAAAAAAATCAAAATTCTTAAGATTGCATTTTCATGATCTCTGTTTTGAAGAGAACCTGGTCAAAAATAAAAAAGAATTTACTGAACTGAGATTCTTTTAACACTACTATCAATATCATGGACTGCCAGAAGAAGTAACAAGTCTGTCTTAGAAGAAGTACAGCCAGAATGCTCCTCAGAAGCGAGGATGGGGAGACTTTGTCTCACGTACTTTGGACATGTTATCAGGAGGGACCAATCCCTGGAGAAGGACATCATGCTTGATAGAGCATCAGTAAAAAAGAGGAAGACCCTCAACTAGATGGACTGACACAGTGGCTGCAACAATGGGCTCTAGCATAACAATGACTGTGAGGATGGCACAGGACAGGACAGTGTTTCATTCTGTTGTATACAGGGTCACTATGAGATGGAAATGACTCGATGGCATCTGACAACAAGAGCAACATCAGTATCTATACTTGGCACACTGGAGGTACTCAACAAACATCTGTTGAATGAATTCTGGTGTAGCTTTTATTTTTTTTAGTTTTTACATAATAATGGGGAATCTGCACATTATATTCTTCCATTAAAGAATAATAGCCTAACATTTCCTGAGTGCTTCCCATTCTCCAGGCACTATTCCAAGTACTTTATACTAACATCTTATGCAATCCTAACAATCATTTGTGAGGTAGGTATTGTTATTGTATCTATTTTACAGATGAAGATCCTGAGGCCTGGGAGCTGAAGTCACAAATCTAGCAAGCGGCAGTGCTGGAATTCAGGCAGAGTCTTTCATCTCCGGGCAATAATACCTACCCTCCTTCATTAACTTACTTCACTTAACTTGTTAATCTCTTTGGACTCTAATCTATAGAGCAGATAGTGAAACTATCTTCGTAATTTACATTTTGACACTGAGAGGAGGGGGTAGGGAGGAGCTAGACTACAGAAGAAAAGGGCAGTGATAAGAATCAGAGATATTCATTCTACCCATTACCTCACTTTTCACAGTTCAATACAAAGTATTTATTGAATACCCCACAGACTAGATGGTGTACCTGGGCACTAGGGATAGGCAGTGAAAAAAACACACAAAGAGCCAACTTCAATGAGCTAAAATTAGAGTCTAGAAAGGCAGTCAGTATATCAAATCAGTAAAATATATATTATCTGAGAAATGATATGGAGAAAAATAATCTAAGGGAAACAAAAATGTAGTTATAATACAACTAGATGATATAATACCATTTATTTTAATTGTTCATGTGTATTACATACATGCATAATGACATGAATAAAAGATTTATCACTAAAATATTAATAGTGGTTATTGCGAGGTAGAGAAAGTTCAGGTGATTTTAATTTTCTTATACTTTTATATCTTGTTTAAAAATCTTAATAAGCATTATTTACAAAACGAGAGAAAGAGAAAAACAGTAAAACCATTGCTACCATGAAAAATTAAAAAAAACTCCCTTAAGTCTATAGGAAAAATAAAGGAAGGTAGCTGGCACAAATATCATTAACCAGAGAAGAACAATAATAATCACAGATATTAGAGAAAATTCCAAGACTATTATAAGTAATTACATTCCTTAAATGGACTAAATTATATAAAGCGAATAGTTTTCATCTCTTCTGTCAACTTGACAGATGAGTACTGGCCGCCTGATGGAGACGGGAAGCTTGTCTCGTTCGTCACATGCCCATTTCCACAGGCCCGGACGTGCCTGGTGAGGGCTCAAGGGAAAAGCGTCCTGAAGGAACACTGATGTTGGCCTGGAGTTGGAGGGAGAAAATGCTGGTCCTCTACATGCTAACTAAATCCCAGATTTAAGCTTTTAGCAGATAGTTTTCTGAAAAAGTTTTCAACTGACTTATCTTTAAAAAATTAATGTCCAAATGGTCAGTTTTCTCAGTTTTTATAAAGAAAAGCCACAAACAGACATAAAATATTAAAACTGGTCAGCACAGTCAAAAAACAAAGAAGATAAGCACTGTTTTACAAATAAGCTAGATTATGATTTCTCAGTAAATTCCTAAGAACCAACCTAGTGTAAACTTTGGATTCCATCTGTCTTGTTCTATCTGATTCTCTTGTATTCCAGAGACATCAACTCCTGTAAGGTTCTCTTTAGCATCAAACCAGTCTTCACTTAGTTCTTGATAATTTCTGCAGTCTAGCAAATTGAAAACAATTAGCAATGAATTATGTATACTGTTTAACCCTCTGAGAAGTTATCTAAAATATATGGATGAATCACTATGAAAACTACTAGTTTTATGTATAATCCCAAACATATAGATCATCAAAATGCGAACCAAGAATGAAGCTTCTCTGAGAAGAGATTTTTCAGCAGCCCTGAATAAAAAGTACTTTCAAACAGAGTGACCGGCTTTCCAGCTTTCATTAATTAATTTCCTGATTCCTAGGTTAATAAAAGCCTTCATTTTCTGATTTTGAAGAAAAGCCCATTGCCATCGAGTCGATTCCGACTCATAGTAACCCTACAGGACAGAGCAGAACTGCCCCATAGGGTTTCCAAGGAGTGCCTGGTGGTTTCGAACTGCCAACCTTTTGGTTAGCAGCCATAGCTCTTAACCACTACGCCACCTAGAAGAGATTTATATTATCGTTATACAAAATAACAGTAAAAATCTTTAAAGCGATTAAGCAGTACTGCAGCTCTTTATTTCAAGTTGAAATAAAAATCTTTTTGGAATGATCATAGTCTTTTTCATAGAAGACAAAACCAAAAGATATAAACGCAGACAATTCACAGAAATACAAATTAGATGTTAAGAAAAAACTTTCAGATTGCAAAACATGAACCAGAAGAACAAAAGTCTGTCAGCACTTAGTATTATCAGATCTACTAAGTAACTTTGAAGTTGGAGAGTAGAAACAAAAAGAATATACTTAGCATTCATAATCAGAATGATGCATTCAGTCAATTAAAATATTTCTTTAATTTAATTAATGAACATTAGGGATATTTTTAACCTCATTATTTGCTGTCTGCCAATTACCTATATATTATACATTTTTATACTGACCTTTATCCTCAAGTTTCAGCTGACTGAAGTCTTCATTTATATCACCATTATTTGAACCATCTTTCTTAGGCGATGCATCTTGTTTAGGGTGACAATTGTCAGGTAATAAAGCCGTCTGAGGATTAAAATAACAAAACAACAACAGATGATGACTAACGTGTTGTGCCCTCATTCTGTGACAGGTACTTTTCACTGGCATTCTTTAGCCCTCACAATAAGGAGAACTAGGGAGGAAAAGCTATTATCAGCCCACATTAGAGGTCAGGAACTTGTTGCGTCACGTCACACAGCTCACGAGTTAGGATCTGCACCCAGTCACCATGTGCTAACAATACCACGGTCTGGCAAAGTGTGGCTTACACACACTAGCACTACTTGTTCTTGAGATGGTTTTTGGAGGTATACATGTAAATATTTTTCATGTTAACATAAAACAATTATGTATTTAATTTAATGTGTGCTTACGTGTACCTGTTATTTATGGGAAGTGATACAGTAAAGCCTGCGAACTCTGGAACCTATGTAAGGTGGAAATCTGTCAGAGAAGGGAAACTCAAATACTTTCCACTAACAGGGATAGAAAAGTGGTAAGACTGCAACCTGTCAACAGCGGAAAACCTGCATGATGTGGAAAAACAAGGCCATTCTGTGGAGTTCTGGCTGTCACAGTTTCAGTGAACTGCTTTCTTTTCCATATGTGAGAGTGGGAGTTACTCCTTAGACTTAAACTGATTTAAAAAGCACAGTCATTTAAAGAAAAAGACGATGTAAATAACATTACAGGTAATACGTGCATGGCTATGGCAAAATGTGGAGATGGCACACAGACAGCCGGTGTCTGGAAACGCTGCACCACGCTACACTGGTTTCCATACACAGACGGCTGGCGCCTGGAAACGCTGCACCACGCTACACTGGTTTCCATACACAACCAGCTAATGTAATTTAATGACAGGTATTAAAATCTAATCTCCACTTAAAATACTGTTGTATAACCAAAACTAAGATCATAAAAAGTATGTTATATCCACATTTTGTACATTTAAAAATAATTTATTGTTCTCCTTAAATCAGCTGAAGGTTATACCATTGCTATCATTACAGTGGTTAAAAAAAAAAAAAAAGAAAAAAAAAAACCTCCAGAACATCATATATCATTAAACTGACAAGTTGTTTAAGCAAACTATGTAAAAAATTTGAGGGAAGAAAAATCTAGTTTTGGACCTGTTACTTCTTTGTGGATAACCGAGTTTTGTTTTTTTTTAATTTAAAGTAGAACAGTGAAATAGACAATATGCTACAGAAATTTACTTTTAATCACTTAATAGAAAGAAACGCAAATGAAATTAATCAAGCATTTCACTTTGGCTTTGGAATACATCTTGCTTAAGACTACTCTATTATTCAAGTTTTAATAACGAAACCTCAGGTTCAGACTGACGTCAGAAAACAGAAATAAACTTTAGCTTTCCTAACCATTGCCTTGCTTGATAATGGAAAATAAATTATATTTCTACATTGCTTCACAATTTGCAGAGTGCTTTACATAGATTATGTCATCTGACAAATTTCCTTTGGGAGACAAGCGATAGAGAAAAACCAAGAAAGGTATTTAAAAACTATTTTCATCATTTAAATAAAGGAGGAATTACAGCTTTCTCCTGTCTGAAACTAACAGAAAGTTATTTTACTCTACCTCACGAGATCAAGGTGCAAGATAGTAGTTTTAATTGCACTGGGTCAACACGATGGTGGCCACACATCAGGGTTTGCCCGGGACAGCCCAGGTTTATACCTGTTTTAAAGGGGGAATCAATAACATCACTCCCTTTCACCATCAAAAGTCTCCTAGCTTGATGATAAATTGTATGGTCACCCTACTCAACATCTATTTGATCAGGACTGGAACTACAGACACTATATTATGTTCCTTTTAATCAGCTGTATCCCTCAAATGGTAGGACACAAAGTAAGCCCGTCAAGTGAAAAGAAGGATGTGAGAGCTCCTGAAAATTACGGTTGACTATGCTTAAGCCATAAAAATTAAGGTTATCAATCTGCTGAATGACTTTTTGAAAAATCTCACTTGAGACAGTGTCTTTTTTAGGCTCGAAGACTCGTCATCATCATGCACACTTTGATTATCTAGTTCGGAATCAGCTCCTAAAAAGCTAAACAGATAAAAACATTTTGTTAAATAATTTATCAATGTCCTGAATAAGAACCAAAAACAGAAAACTTAAAAAGTCAACTGAATTATGCAATTTTGAAGGTCTAATCAATTCTAAATGGAATGAAACCATAACTTACACATGTGTTTCTTCTTTCATTATCTAGAAAGAGAGAAGGGAAGAAAAAATCTTTGTTTAAAATCTCTTCTGTCTAAATGAAGTAAAAACTTTATTCATAAAACATTCATACATACCTTGGAAGCAAAAGTAGAAAAGGCAGATAATAATTTCGATTCTACTGACAAGGGGGGCAGCTCTTCCAGTGGTATGCCTTTGTTAATTTTTTCTTTCAAACTCCCATATCTAGCTTTTAAGTCTCCCAAGACAGACAGTAGTGCTGATCCTAATTCCTTCTTAGCAGAATTACTTGGTAAGTTCCTGTTCAAAAGTTAAGTTCATTAAGCTAAATTATTTAGGCTCAGGTTATCCACTTAATACAAATATTACACACTTAATTCTAACTCTACCAGAATCTTTAAAAATGTTTCTTTTAAATGGTTAGTGAAATCAAATCAACTGGAGTACCTAGATGTGTTTTTCTAGGGGCTGTACAAGCAACAGCATATAAGCAGAGAGGATGTGGTGGAATGTTATACAAGACCCTCCAACTGACTTCATCCTCATACGGACTTTTTAAAGAAACATCAAATCTATCTTTTCACTGCATTCTTCTTCCCAATCTTGCATTGTTGCCCCTCCACGCAGTTCAAAAGTATTACTTTTTAAAGTCTATTACCCATAGGCCAGCTAACAAGCCCAGTTACAATCTACCCCTCATTTTGTCTTCAAAACAGAACATAAAGAGATTTTCTAGAATAAATTTAATGCTAGTACAGTTTCTATGAAGATATAGATTTAAAATTAATAAACACCTATTTACTCCTTCCTTATTTTCCATCACAAGTTTGTAAATGTCACGACAATGGCGGTGGCACATCTGATAGTGAACATTTAGAAGGTGCAGCTCAGCTTTTATGGCTCTTTGCATTATCTTCTCACAGCACTCTGATGGGAAACTCTTCTCCGTCTCTCTACAAAGTTGAAATTCCCTTTAAAACAAGATAGGATTAGGTAAGATTCCAAACATTTTCTATGTTGGTGACAGGCCTCTAGAAACAGTTTTTAAATTTCTTACATTTCCCTGTCAAGTTTAAATAAATTTCTACTAAAGATAGAAGACACTATTAAAAAAACCCAAACCCACTGCTGTTGAGTTGATTCTGACTCATAGCTACCCAGAAACACAAATTTCAGACAAGAAGGGTGTCAAGAGTCAAAGCTAAATATATTCTTCCTAGAAGTCAAGGAAGTAAACAATTCTCAAATTCATACTTTCTGAAATCCTTGGCTTTCTTTTACAAAAAAAGGATTCCAATATAAAGTAATGATTTCATTTATTTCAGAATAGATTTCCTACCTAAAGCAAGCTTTGGCCAAGATTTTAAAAGTTGTGAGCATTCTGGATGGAAAATGTTCTTAAATGCGTTATCTTTTAAATAGAAAGATATAATTTATATTTTCGTTATTAATTAAGAGTCATTATTATGAGCAAATACTTTGCTGAGCTACACAGTGGCTGCAACAATGGGCTCAAGCATAACAATGATTGTGAGGATGGCACAGGACTAGGCAGTGTATCCCTCTGTTGTACACAGGGTCGCTAGGAGTCAGAACCAGCTCAACAGCACCTAACAACAACGCTATACCAAAAAGCCCCAAGTCACTATGTGTTTTGAGCATTAAAAGTTTTCGGAGGTCCTCCCTTGCTACCAGTAATCACTTCCAGCTGTCCTCAATGCTTCTGTCTCTTCTATTTAATTTTACTGGGATACAGGATTAAACTCATTAGAAGAATTAGTGAAGCAAAAAGTAAATGACCTCAGATAACAGTAACTAATCTGGCTTCTTAGAGGCTCCCCTCATCTTCTGGTTATCTTTTGTGTTCTAATAAATGCAAAGTAAATTACATGATGAACTAAAATCAAGATTAAAATACAAGAGTGAAAGTAGCTATTTACTTCTTCAAATATATGAAGTTTTCCAAAGGTGCTATTTTGTTTTGGTCTACTGAGGAGTCAAATGAAAGACAATGGAGTAATAAAATCAGTATGGACTGGGCTTGAATAAGATAAAATGCCACGAGGGTTTGAAGGAATTATTGACACTGAAATCTCAGTAAGTGAAGAAGAGCTTGAACATTCTATATTGTTTTAATATTTGTTTGAAGGTAAATGGCTGAAGCAGATAATCTCTTGAATTCCCTTATAGCTATTACTCTATATGCTTATATATGCTAGATAGAAAGCAAATGCTATTCTGATCTTTTTTCCCATCTGTATCTGTAAGCTTATACATCTGACATACCTTGCGGGATGTTTCTTTAAGTCTGTGACATCAAGTGTTTTTTTTAATTCCAGAGAATCCTAAAAATATTAAATTAGAAGTCCATGACAAATAACATACATTTGGAGCTGCCAACTGGCGAAATGTAAAACTCAACTTCTAATTGTTTTTGTGGCAGCAGCTGCCACCAGAGGACAGAGCTGGTGGCAATCTCCCCACCCTTTCCCCTCACCCACCATTTTCTCACAAAAAACCTCAGGAGCCCCTGCTATAAATTCAATGAACCAAAGCATTTACATTAGCATACGCTGCCTCTTTACAAAATCCAGTATAATCTTATTATCATTCATAGTCGTTTTACCTTATTTAGGAAATGTCCACTAGGTTTTAAACTGTCAACTGAGAGAGATTCTCCTGGTCCTTTCTTCACAGCCGTCTGTGGGTCTACACAGTCCTGACTGTATGACCAATCTGTGTTACAAGCCACACTTCTTTGTTTCTCACTCTGCCATTGGCCAGGCCGTTTTTTATTCATCATTGTTATGTCTGTGTTGCTTGATGTGGACACCACAGAAGACCTTGTACTTGTTGTCCTGCTGGTTGTGAAATAAGCCCTGAAATCAGTGCTAACATCCACTGCCTGATTAACTGTAACCATACAACCTGCAGCATCCATCAGTGATTTAGGACGTGTTCCTTCCATATCATGGGAGCAGGTTTTATTTGTGGTATTGCTATTAGCAACTTTTAGGGAGCTATCTTCTGTTGCCTGATTACCTTTGACCGCAATCCTTGGTAGAGTAACTGAAAAATCCAAGGCTGAGTCAGAGGTGTCTTGTAGAACTTTATAATGCGAACATCCACAGGCAGAAATTACTGACTCATCAAAAACAGAGCTCCAGGAGGCTTGACAATTTTCACAGGGCTGCAGTAATGTCTCTAAAGCGTCTTCCTGTGGTAATGTACTGGGATTTTCAAGGCGCTGTAGGGTATTTTTCTCAACAACTGTATTTCCACAAAAATCCTTATTTTCAGTTACTTGAGATTTCATTTTGTCAGTATAAATTTTAGTTTCTAGTGCTTTCTGAGGGTTCAAGAAACCACTCTTAGACTGAGATTTCTGGTTTTCAAGAGAACTACTACTTAGTATAATTTCATCAAATACTGTGTGGTACGTTAAACTAGTCTCTTGTTCCTTACACTTTTCATGCTGTAGTTCGTGATGTTCTCTTATCCTAACAGAATCCTGAAGTTTGGAGACATCTGCTTGTCCATAAACATCAAATAAATCTAAAGAGATGACAGAACCGCTTCCCAACTTAACATGATTATCTTCTAGACTGCAAGCACATCTAGCTTCATAACCTGAATTTCTAAATCCAACAACCTCCAGATTAGATCTATTTAATGCTTTTGTTTGGCCAAAAGATAAATGATTATTTATATATTCTTGTTCTTCTGCACTGTGATATTCCTGCTGTGAGTCTTCATCCATATCATACTTCTGCAGACCTTCAGCAGTTTCTTTATAATCATCAACTGAAATCCCGTAGATTCTTTCCAAGTCACTAGTTTTATTACTTTGATGTTCCAAGATATCAAAAAACACCTCTTCTCTTTTCTGCATTTCAGGTTTTAATTCTGAATTTAAATGAATATGACTTTCGTTTTTTAGTTTTGATTCTGAATAATGTATAGAGTATGTTTCATTCAAGAAAGCATAGTCAATACTGTCTTCAAACTCACTTGACTGAGAGTAAGTACTCCCTCTGTTAGTATCTTCACTCACTGACCAAGATGGCTCTAACAAATCTATTTGGTCAGTGTTGCTGATTTCCTCGTCATTAGGTCTTTGCTCTAACCTGGAAACCCAGTCATCATCAGGAACAGTAAATTTGATTTCTTTACAACCACTGGAAAATATTAACAGCTTTCCTTTCTTTGAATTAGAAGGCTCATCTGATTAAAAAAAAAAGATAATAAAAGGTAAACAACAGCAACATTACAGAATCTAAGCACTAGAAAAGACCTCGGACATGATCTGGTCCAAGCTCTTTTCCAACGCAGGGATTTTTTTACATTACCCATGACAGATATCTCCGATGGCAGCCAAGATTCTTCTTGAACTCTTTCAAAGGCAAGGAGTTTACTATCTGCATTTTAGATAGCTCTAATAAGAAACTTATTTCCTATAAAATTATTTCATAAACCTTTGGGTGCATCCTAGCGCCAGCTTAGGCTGGAAGAAACAAAGGAAAAGAGGACATGGGTACTGCCCCCAACTGCTCAAGTCTTTGATGAGGGTGATAGGTAAGCACATATAAACATATCACAGCTAAAGAAGGGTGCTGACTGTCATGTTGATAAAGCGAGCAAATGCCTGGGAGGAAAAATGCGTTTTGAAACAAAATAGAGAAAATTATTTTAGGCAAACCAAACAGCACATGCAAAGTTAGCTGTGTGACAGAATATGGTGTTTTCAGGAAACTGTAAGGCAGTTCGGCTGGAATGAAAGCGCTCCATGGGAGTGACAGGAGATGTGAACAGGAAGAGGCATCAGTCAGACTGTGAAAGGGCTTTTACGATGTGCTAAGGAGTTGGTCTTTTATTCCAAGGCAATGGAGGGCCACTGAAAGCTTCTCCCAGGGGTAGTCAGGCGACTGGAGTTGAGTTTCTGACAGCAGTAAGACTGAAAGCTTGAAAGGGGAGACTGGAGGCAGGTAGACCAAGAGTGCAGAAGTGGGACTGGACAGGAAGAGACTGATATAAAAGTTCCACAACTGACAAGACTTGGTGGCCAGTTAGAAATGGTAGATGAAGAAGAGTGAAATTAGTGGCTATCACATATTTTTTTGACTGAGATCACAAGAATACATTTTATATCATGACCCAATACACACACTTATGTTGTCTGTATAAGCGAAACAAAATTTTTACACCATAATTACTTCATTTCCAATGTATTCTGTTATTTTCTATTTTATTTAAAAAAAGCTGATCACAATCAGCTAACCTGATTTCATGACCCAGCAATTGGCCACTACCTGCTTAAACACTGCTCTGAAATAATGCTAAGGTTTATAACTTGGTATTACAGTTGAATGAGAATATTCCGAGGTAAAGAGACAGGGACTCTATGAACAGTTTAGAAGGTGAAGAGGAAGATAATGACTCAGTTCCTGGCAAGTGGAGTTTGAGGTTAGTAATAGACCACTCTGATGCAAATGTTTAGTAGGACATTACAGATATGGGTTAAAGTAAGAAGAGCGGTGTCAGTTTCAATTATATATCTTACCATCTTGTGAGGTGACTGTATTTTTCTTAGAGGTTTGTAGGAGTTCTTTATGTACTTTGGATATTAACATTACTGTGTTTTACATTTAGAAAGTAAGTGAATTCTTTCTTAGTTCATACTTATCAACTTTTCTACACTATTTTGTTATAACGCAGTTTTTAACATTATTTGGTTAGATGGATCAGCCTTTTCTTAAGACTTCTGTGTCTCTGGCCTTTACTACTACATGATTATAAAAGTATTCTCTAATAATTTCTTCTCATCCTTTAAGTGAGCGTATGTTTTTAACACTCAGCCTTTTTACTTTATGTGTAATTTAATTTTTTCCTCTAGTATGAAGTGTCGTTGTTAGGTGTCATCAAGTTGGCTCTGATTCACAGCGACCCCATGTACAACAGAACGAAATGAATTTTTTTTTTTTTTTCAAAATGGACTGCCAATTGTCCTAACACCACTTACTGAACAATCCATTGTTTTCCTTCTGAACTGAAATGGCATCTTTATCAAATTCTAAAGTCCTTTTAACTGTTTGTTTCATAACTTCCTTAGAGTCTGATTATCTTTTTGTACAACTCTTCCATACTGTTTTTAATTACTATAGCATTAGAGGATATTTTTATATTTGGTAGGTTGTTCCTTCGTTTTTTAGAAAAATATTTCCCTAGTTCTCTCCTTCAGATAATTATTTTTAAGTTCATTGTTTTGGGAGAGATTTTTTTTTTTAATTCCATGAGAAACCCTATTGAGATTTACTTGGAAAGAGAGAGAATCATTATCATGTCTAATCTCTAGCAGCCTTTCCCTACATTTCCAGTAACATTTACTATATAAATAGAAATTACGTTGTTTGGTACATTAGGGTTCCTGACTGGTATCTTCATTGTATGAATTTATCACTTTAAAATAACTGACTTAATGTTTACTGCATCTATTACACTTCATCTATTAATAATATCATTCCTAATTTTTAAGTTCATTTGTCTCTTAACTTACCCATCGTTTTATAATAAACCTTTCTTTTCTGTTTTAAATGTGTTTCATGAACAATGTAGGACTGGATTTTTGTTTTAGTCTAGAATACCTCTTAATAATTTAAACCACATATACTTTTAAGTACATTATCTGTCAGCTGCTCTCAAAAGCTTGACTGGATGGAAAGCCTACCTTCCTGTTCACCTTCCCGTCTCTAAATCTTCCATTTCTCCGAGAGGTCTTGCCTAAGCTGCCTATATTTACTAAAAATCACTGGAGTGAGTTTGCCAAATTAAAGACATGCTAACTCTTACCCACATTACTGGGAGGAGGCCTTAAAAACTAGCAACACTGAAGGGGGAACTGTCTGGCTCAATTACATATAGCATCCTGCCCCACCCAGAATAAAGCCAACTTGCCTGGCGCCTCACCTTTCTGGAGGTTTCCTCCATTCCTATAGTAGCCTTTACCAGAAGCTGTTCCCACCACTGCAGTGGCCTCCATCACACAAGGATGAATATTCTAGAAAACGTATAAATATTGACTATTATACTTGGCATTATATTAGGGGAAAAAAAACTATTAGAAATATAAGATAAATTTTGGTAAAGTGGCAATTACAGTCAATGATTCTAATATCAGAGGGGTTATAGTTGTTAGTTGAGGTCAAGGTGATCCCAACTCATGGTGATCCCATGTGTACAGAGCAGAATAGCTCCATAAGGTTTCCAAGGCTGTGACCTTTCAGAAGCAGATCACCAGGTCTGTCTTCTGAGGCACTGTTGAGTAGGCTCGAACTGTCAACCCTGTCAGCTAGTAGTTGAGTACTTAACTACTTGCGCTAAAAAATAATAAAACTGGTAGAACGCTTAAGTAACTCTTTTAAAAACATAAGCTAACAGCTACATAAAGAATTATACTATTTAAACAGATAAGACATATTCTTTTCAAATTACCAAGGAACATTCTAAAAACAATATGTCAGGCCACCAAAAAAGTCATAATCCAAAAAATAGGAGTTTTAAAGGTTACAATGTGACCCCATTTATGTGAAACCTGGATCAAAATGTTTCCAAAACAAATCACAGATTTACTGAAATCAGTAATATGTTATATCCATATGATGGAATATCTTTCAGTAGTACAAAGAAATGTACTGACACATGCTACCTGTCTCAGTCATCTAGTGCTGCTATAACAGAAATACCAAGTGGATGGCTTTAACAAACAGAAATTTATTCTCTCACAGTTTAGGAGGCTAGAAGTTCGAATTCAGGCTGCTGACTCTAGGAGAAGGATTTCTCTGTCAACTCTAGGGGAAGGTCTTTGTCTACTGTCAACATCTCTGGGCCCAGCATTCCTTGGACATCTCCACGCGTCTTGGCATCAGTCTTCCCCTGGGTATAGGAGGTTCTCAGCACAGGGACCCCAAGTCCAAAGGACGTGCTCCGCTCCTGACTCTTCTTTCTTCATGGTAGTGAGGTCCCTCTTCTCTCTGCTTCTCTCTCCTTTTATCTTTTTTAAGATAAAAGCTGTGATTCGTGAAAGGGTGCGACACGAGTCACATTCTCTTGTAAGGCTGTGACTCAAGATACACCGCACACTGATCCTGCCTCATTTATAGAGGTTAGAATTTACAACACATCACAAAATGGAAGACAATCACCCAATACTGGGCATCACGGCCTAGCCAAGTTGACACATATTTGGGGGGGACACAATTCAATCCATGACATTCTACACTTTGGCCCCCTTAAATTCATGTCCTTGCCACATGTAAAACACATTCACTCCATCATATCATCCCCAAAGTCTTAAATCAACTCCAAGTCCAAAATCTCATCTTCTGAAATCACCTAAATCAAATATGGATGAGGCTTTAGGCATATTCCAACCTGGGGTAAAATTCCTCTTCATCTGTGAACCTGTGAAATCTGTTTCCAAAGTTCACAGTGAAACAGGCACAAGGTAGATAATTCCATTACAAATGGGAGAAAGAGGAGGGAAAGAAGAAATAATGGGCATCAAACAAGTCCAAAACCCAGCAGAACAATTTACATTAGCTCTCAAGGCTTGAAAATAATACTCTGTTCTCTGACACCATCTGGGCAACAGTCCTGGCTCTCCAGATTCTGGGTGATGGCCATGTCCTCTAGAGTCTGGGTGGAGGTCCCTTGGCCCTTGACTTCAGCATCGTCTTTCAGGCCCACTGGGATGGCAACTCTGCTCCCTCAGCTTTGGGCAGCCCATCTGAGTGGCGACCATCTGAGTGGGCCCTTTGGGCCCAGGAGGACCCATTCTTCTGCCCCTCTGTTTTGGGTGGCAGCCTCAGCCTCCTGGCACACCTTAACGGCAGCCCCACACTCTAGAATCAAGCCAGCAAAGATATGTCTCTTTGAAACCTAGGAGGCTGTGGCCCCACCCTTTGAGAATGAGGCAGCTCTGCTTCCTGTGCTCCTTCTAACAGTTCTGCTCATCTCCGAGCTGCTCCAGGGATTTTCCTTTTTCTTGGAGGACAACAGATGTAGGTCCTTTGGCCTGTTTCCAGCCTGTAGAATCCCAAGAGGCAAACAGTGTTCTCTCCTTTCGTTCTTTCTATGTCCCCTTTCGTCTAAGCTGATAGGTTTCCTGCAGTGGTAGTTGGTTAGATTCATCAGTCGCAGGCTTAATCTCTTTAAAAAAGTGTTTAAGCCACATCCTTAGTGAAAACTATAGGACATGTGTCCTTAGTTTGTATGACAGAATTTTTGAAATCTTAAGTTCTGAATTCATTTCGCACAGTTCATTAAGGCCACCTCTTACCTCTCACATTTTACTGTAAGTGGCAAAGAGAAACCATGCAGCCCCTTTAAGATCTTGCTTAGAAATGTCATCAGTCAGATAGCCAACTTCATCACTGATAAGTTTTACCTTCCACCAAACATTTGAACGTAATTCAGACAAGATTTTGCCGCTGCATAGAAAGTATCACCCTTCCTCCATTGTCCAATGACACGTTCACCATTTTCTTTTCAAGTCTCACCAGAAGCACATTTAATGTCAACATTTTCAGTAACATTCTGTTGTTGGTGCCATATGTATTCTCTAACAGAGACATTCTCTGTAGCCCTCTTCACTTCTTTCTGAGCCCTCACCAGAAGTGCCTTTGACATCTGTAATTCTATCAACAGTCCTTTCAAGACAATCTAGGTTTTTATTATTAGGTACCTTAAAACTCTTCCAGCCTCAGCCCATTATCCAATTCCAAAACTACTTCCACACTGTATTTGTCAGAGCAGCACCCCACTCTTGGTACAAAATTCTGTCTTAGTTATCTAGTCCTGCTATGACAGAAATACCACAAGTGGATGGCTTTAACAGAAATTTATTTTCTCACGATTTAGGAGGCTAGAAGTCTGAATTCAGGGCACCAGCTCTAAAGAAGGGCTTTCTCTCTGTTGGCTCTGGGAGAAGGTCCTTGTCTCCTTTCAACATCTGTGGGCCCAGCGTGCCTAGGAGATCTCCAAGTGTCTTGGTACTAATCTTCCTCTGGGTCTAGGAAACTCTCAGTGCAGGGACCCTGGGTTCAAAGGACACGCTCTGCTCCTGACTCTTCTTTTTTCATGGTAGTGAGATCCCTCTTCTCTCTCCTTTTATCTCTTGTAAGATTAAAGGTATGACTCAGGCAAGGGTGTGACACAAGTCATATCCTCTTGTAAAGCTGTGACTCAAGATACACCCCACACTGATCCTGCCTCATTAACATATAGAGGTTAGGATTTACAACACATCACAAAATGAAGGATAATTACATCAGATCACAAAATGGAGGACAATCACACAATACTGACCTTTTGGTTAGCAGCCAGGCTCTTAACCATTGCACTACCAGGATTCCATTTGTTTTCTATTCTTATTTAATAATTATCTAAAGTTGTAACTTCTTTCGGTTATAACTTTGACCACGTTCTGTGGGTTTTGATCTTTCGCATTCTCTGTCAGTTTTTTTTTTTTTTTAATTTTCCAAGTTTACACTGTTTATTACACGGCAAAGTCAGGACTCAGAGCCAGACAAACTGCCTTTATGGAGCTGAGTTCTTATCTCTGCTTTATACTCTTTTATCATTTTAGAACAGGGAGAGTGAATTCAGATGATTTGTCCAGGGTCATTAATTGAAATAGTTCATTGAAACAAAAATCTTTTTTTCTTTTTTTCCCTCCCAACCTCATTGGGAACCTTTATAAAGCTGGTCACTAGAATTCCACTGAAGAATACCTCAGCCGTTTCGGGTATGAACATTGAAGATAAGCAGGGAACAGAAGGTTCAAAATGCTTTTGTGGGTTTGCTGAATTTCTTATGCTGATCTCCTTGGCAGTCACTCATGTGTCTACTGGGGTACCTCATTTTTCCTACCAGTGTCCTAGCCTGGGCTTCCTCATATAGAAGCTGTGTTCTAAGAGCCATTATCATCGACTTTTCTTAAACAGTTCAACTGAGGTATATTTTACTCATTTCAAGTGTACAATCAACGATTTTTAGTAGCTTTATCAAATGGTGCAACCATCACCATAAATCAGTTTCAGAACATTTTATCCCCCCCAATAAAGTCCATCATGCTCATTTACAGTTAGCTGCTTCCTATTCCGTACCCTATTTATGTTCTGTCTCTTTAAGTTTTCTTTCTCTGGATATTTAACGTAAATGGAATCATACAGTATGTAGCATCTTGTATCTGGCTTCTTCTAGCATGTTTCTGGGAGTAATCTCTGAGGTAAATACCATGGATTGAATTGTGTCCCCCAAAAATATGTGTCGACTTGGTTAGCAGTCAGGCTCTTAACCACTGCACTACCAGGGTTCCATTTGTTTTCTATTCTTATTTAATAATCATCTGAAGTTGTAACTTCTTTTGGTTATAACTTTGACCATGTTCTGTAGCCGCTCCTTGGAAATCTATGGGGCAGTTCTACTCTGTTCTTTAGGGTCGCTACGAGTCGGCAATGGGTTTTAGAAAATAAATGAATTTAAGCAGTCAACTAGAGAATCTAGAAAAGAACAAAACAAACAAAAATTTAGAATTAGTTAATACAAAAGCAGAAGTGATCAACTCAACAGTAAAAATGATAAATGAAGTCAAAAGCTATTCTTTGAAAAGACTAGTAAGAGTAGGTAAATATCTAACAAATTTCACTGAGACTACTGAAACAAAAATTAGCAATAAGACAACAGAATATATTTTAAGAGATAAAGAGGTGCTTTTAAAAATTGAGATTGCTATCATAGGCCTCATGTTGTGTTTTGTTTCAGAAATCAGTCTTGCACTGCCCATTGTCCAATATCTGAAAATAGTGGTTTTATACATGTGGTCTAGTGTTCTAGTTGTTTTATGGTGACATGGTAAATCCAGTCTCTGTTAATTGGTCATGTTAGAAGTATGAATACATTTGACAGTACGTTCTCTGATGACAGTATCAGTAATACAAACAAACGAAAACCAGTTGCCAAGTCAATTTTGAATTTTGG